GCTTTGGGAGGATGGAGTTGCCTCTCTACCCGATCGTTGGCGAAAGGTAGTGGGTATGCATGGAGATTATATCATGGACCGGTAAGTTCAACTTGGTGAGATATCTTTACCAGCTCTGAAAAAACGAATGGCCAACGAACTTTGTGGACACCCTAATAGTTAACTTCGCTTTTTGTCATTTTCCCCCGCCATATAGCACCACAGCTACTATTTTTGAGCAAGTACCAAATGATCGTGCTGTACGCCTTGAATTGACCTCCTGACAGAAGGAACAAGCCGATACTGTCTTCATATCAACAAGGAGGAGCTCCAAGCATGAGTTCTCTTCGATTTATCCTTTTACAATGCCCGGAACGCAAAGGGTTTCATTCGAGAATTTTATATAAGTAGTGCAATTTTGTTCCTTCATGGCCACGCTAATTAGCACCACCTGTTTCTTATCTGAACACCAGTACCCTCACTTTGCCGTCATTTGCCGCCCCTTGTATAAAAAAGTAGCAGCTCTTACCAGCTGGCTCTCATCTTCCACTTTCCACAGGCGACAGCTTCGATCTTGCCTTCCAGCTGTAACCACTCGCTGCTTTTGAAGAGCACTTACACTCATGACGACATCTTGATGACCATACATGGTGTCAACTAAGCCCATTTGGTCCAAATCCCATAACTGAACAAGTAACAATTTTGTCGTTTAATCTGAGAATGAAACAAAAAATGACTAGGAACACAGGCAACTACAAAAAAACCAGCCTTTACAGATCGATCGCGACTGGCACTGAACAAACAATTTCTTTTCAGCTGAAAACAAAGGGCCGTAATTGGCGCACGATGCCCTTTGAAATCCCGCACATGTGCAAGGGTATTGAAATCCCAGATCTGAAAGAAAAGAATGTATTGTGGCATTTATTTCACGAGATTTTAAGTGGAATACTTAGGTCAAAGGACTGAGTAATTTTCTAGTAGATCCACTTCTCTGTCACGGATTCTACATTTCACACCCCAACTCCACAAAAATAAGATCATTAGTGAAACTACAAGCATTAGAAAATCCGTTCGAACACATATTGCTGAACATTGTTCTAGTGGAAACTCATTTCGTTCTGTTGTACAGTAACCAGACCGATTCATATTGATTCAAATGTTGGACAGCATCAGGTCAATCAAAATAAGAAGAAGGTTAAACTTTTAATCCAATCACGGGTTAGTGAAATTCAAAAACACGCACCTTCAAAACAGCATCGTGGCCACCAGACGCGATATACTTCCCATCAGGAGAAACGGCCACCGCGAAAATGTGTCCGTGATGCGCTTTCTGACCTTCACCACCGGTTTTTGTACGTTTTATAGTTCCAACAATTTTTCGTGCGATAATATCATCTGATATTATAACATTTCAGGATATTTCCAACAATCCTTGAAAAAACGGGCAACTAACATTTCACTATGCTTGACTCTTTCCCCGAACTGATAACGAACTTTCCACAAGGTGAAATTGCTACCGAAAGGGGACTGAACCTGAAAAACTCCATAAAGAGTAAGATAAAAAAACTAAGGAGACAATAATAGAACAGGTCCAGCCAAGAGGTATCTACGTGCCAGCCGTTACGAGCGGGGAGAGAATTTTTGCAGAAATATCATGAAACTGCACATCATAAAAACTGCAAATAGTAGCAAAGAGGGTGCACTGCTTCCTTACGGATACTAAGGTCTTGTTTGAATCTTTTCCGAACTATGACACCGGAACGTCCGCTAACGACTGATGCGCAACATGAAAAGAGCAAGGCCTCAGAAACTAGAAAGCGCTGAACTAACTCAGACCAACCTATGCGCTCTGTAAGTCATCTCTTCCTCGTCACGTAATTCTGCCAAGTCAGCCAGCTGTCGTCGTAATGTTCCTGCTTTGACTGCAGCGTCTTCCTTGAGTGTTTCACCTATCTCCTCTTCTGTTTTTCCAGATTCCTAAAGAAACTTGTAGTTATGGACAAAGAACAAAGCTTTTGCTGATGATCAGTTCTTTTTTGCGATGCGCCAGGCATAGCGCATTGAGTGCGATATGGCCTGCAAAGTGGGTTCCGGGAAAAACCCATGCGCGTTAGTTTCTAGCCTCCCAGACAAATCTGGTACCAAATTACCGTCCGCGGAGGGTAAAGAGGTAGGCTGGCCTCAGCGGAAGCTGAGCCGGAACTTGACTGCGTGGTGAGCGTGCTACTCACGAATAGATCACCCCCGCCTCGAAAAATAGTAGCAATGAAGAAAAAAAAAACAGGAAATAGAAAGAAGTGTGAAAATTTCAATTATGGAGAGCTCCAACCTTGCGCACCAGTAGATTATGTCACACGTGCTTATCTGACATAACAGGAAACTAGAAGGAAACCCTATGGCGACCAACGAAGATGGTGAAACTCACGTGAAGTTTTTGCAAGTACTCTTTGGCTTTGATTCGAGCAATATCTTCAATGTCATATTCACCTTCACTTGCCTCCGACACTCGACCACTGGCAACGGAAACCTACAGGTAAGCTTTCGCGATCATTTCCGATCACTCCTATAACAACTGAACCTTATTGCTACCTCGTCTTCATCTGAGCTGATTTCTGTTCTCTCCATCATTCGCCGCCGTCTTGACAGCCTTGCTTCCTTGTCGTCCCCATCTTTCAAGCCCTATAGTTAAGTTCATGACATGGAAAGCTAATACCCACCTCAAACAAGCCAAAAAACAAAAAAATGAACAAGAATTCAAACGATACTCACTCTTTTCACGCCGATTCTCTTTTTTGGATGCCCTTTTGTCCCTTGAAAGGAAAAATGCAGGCATTCTGACCCTATGACAAAGTAAATTAACATTCAACAAGAGCTCAGACTACAAAAGTACCACGAAAGTTGGGCAGTAATAAATACTGAAAATATAGCGTGACAACGCTTTCTGCAAATACACAAGACAATAGGTTAAATTTATAACAAGATCAGTTCATAACCGTAACAAGTCGTATAAGATATCAAGCAAATGAGATTGTCGTCAAGACGATGATGATTTCGTCGGTGATTTGTTCTGAAATGTTGATCTTTACCTTGAATTACTTGCTCGTTGTCTGACTCGAACAAAACAGCGTTCGAGGTCTTATTGAGGACACCACAGTTCGAGTATCTAAGTGGGAACAATCTCACTCAAATATCCGAACTGTGGTGTCGTTGCCTTTTTTGGAAAGACGAGTAAAAGAAGCCTTTTAAAAATTGGCTCTTTCGAATTCACTAATGGTAAGAAACACAGACGTCCTCACGAACCTTCAGAACCTCGACGACAACTTCTGACAAGAGATGCGCATGGAGTAGGAGATTCCTTAGTTTCTTGAAATAACGACCATTTGTTTCTGTCCAGTGTTTTATAACTGCAGAGCAGCTTTCGGCATCCTAGAATAGTTCTTGAACATGCGGGAGAATTCCATATCATGGACAGATTTGGTGAAAACCAATGTAACATTCATTGCATGGTAGGCCGCCATTTTCGAGAAACACCTTAACTGATGCTCACTGAGCAAGTAAGCCAGAATCTGCAGCATGTCTCCCGATGAAAGCCAAAAAATTCCCCCCTATACCTTCACTCCTCCATCGCGACTTCCCTTCTCCTCCTGCATCACATTTGGGAGAGACGAACAAGAGATCAGAAAGAGGTCGCTTTCATAAAGGTAAAGCATATAAAAGACCTTCAAAAGTCGTAAAGCGCCACTGTTCTGTGCTATTGTCCCTTTCGTTCCTCTCATCTCAAGCAATCGTGGAATTTTTCATGTTTTCCCACCGCTTCTTTGATCATAACCTGTCATTCCCTCCTAGGCATGCTCTTTGGAGCTAGTCACGTATTGACAGTGTGTATTCGACTAAAAATAACTGTATACTCTCACTTCCGTGGATTCTTATCTTTCCATATGTGAGGTGAATAGGCACGAAGCTGCACCAGCATGCCCCCTTCTGCTCTCAAAAGTGCACGGAACAGGACCGCGGGATAGTGATACCCAGGGGCCATCTCCATACCGCACGCCAGCCACATCCAGCCGTAGACCGAACGCGCAAATTGTCTACGCCCTCTAAAAGCTGGTTGATCTCTACCGCTGAGTGTGTCGTTGAGGAACTTTGGCATCAGCGCAAGTGTTGCACCTCAAGGATAGCGCGGGCGGAGTATGAGACAGCACTCGGGTACCGCTACCCTACATCCCTATTGCCGTGCACTTTTGAGTGGAGAAGTAGCACGGTACTACTGCTACGGACCCATTCGCCTCGTACATTGCAAGGACCATCCTCGGAGGTAGGCAATTCGTCTTCAAGACGTGCTCCGCGCAACAAATTGTTTACGAGTGCGATTTTGAATTTAGCACTGTGAATACGATAGGGAACAATGGAAGGCAAGAAAAGAAACGGAAGCAACATGTCCGGAAAAAATACAGAAACCACACCTCTGTAAAAAAGAATAACCCACTGTTTGACCCTTTAACTCTTGTATTCTTCTGTCGCTTAATTCCATGGCTTCCGCCAACTTTTTCCATTGGGATGCCAATATAGACGCTAGTTTTGCTAATGTTGAGTCACTCATTTCATAATCGGGACCCGGCGATGCTGATCTTAAGAGTTCTCATAGAAAACCATTAGCTCGAATTAAACCGTAGGCTGTACCCTTCAACGCCATTCGAACGATTTCGTAACAACGACTCCTCCACCGCTCTTCTTGCTTGCCTTTCTTCCCGTTCTTGAAGTTCCGTTCGAAACTCCTTAAATGTGGGATAATAAACAAAGTGAAGCTAAAGTCACAGTAAGCAAAAAGTGGTCTCACATCCATATTTTTCCCCGTCTTCAATATTACATTATCAAGAAATTGAGGTATACTGAGGGTCTGTTGATTTTGAGCAGAAATATACTGTGAGCTTTCTACCATAAGCAGTCTGCAGGCACGAAACTGGAACGCGGGGTCTCGAGTTGATCTGAAAGCTTTCGTGTCCTACCTTGAGAGAAATGTACAAATGGGCGGCTCAGATAAAAAAAAACCAAAACAACAGGACGCAGAACTAAAAAAAAACACGGGTCAATAAAAGTTTCTTGAAATTCAAAGGCCAAGGCTAAATCTTCAGAATTGAAAGGCTTGAGGATTATAAAAGTTTGTAGGAATACAACAGAGAACATAAATTTCATCTACATTGCTAGAACAAAAACATTCTAAATCAGTAACTTACTTGTACTGGTCCTCCACCTGTTGATCAGGATCGAGTTCATCTATTGGATCTCGCAGAAAGTCTGCTAGAGCCGGAGCAAATTTCCTAAAGGCGAAGCTATTTTGCGCTTAGGACTGCACAAGAGGTGACTTGGCAAAACAACTTACCGCCTTTTATCCTTACAAGCAGATAAAAGATCGGGTTCGATGCTCCACAGTTTCGTCAATTCAGGCGTTCCAATGTCAATCTCGTTGGGATCAAATTTTGTTCGCGGCCGCCTGAAAAGCAGCAGTCCACATCGTTATAAAGGCAAAATATCCTGACAAACCTGATTTCGCCTTAGATTTTGAGCTATCAGTAGTGAACTACCACTTCTACTGTAAACAGATACAAGCAAACAAGACTAGGTACCCCAGCCTAAGCCTAGAGGCTGAACCTTTTTCAGAAACTTATGCATTTTAACCTAAATCCACGAAACTCTGTTAACATGGCGTCAAACTTCTCTCTTCAGAGATGCTTGATGATACTGTCAACATTGCAACGTTGTTGCATAATAAATCGAAATCTGCTAATACGATTCCCGAATATTCTGTGCAATGCAAAACAACTGTGAAAAAATTTCAAAGCCAAATCTGCAACAGAATGAAAACGCACTTTTTATAGGGTTGCATTTGCTGTTTGTCCGCGAGGTCTGCCATGTTTGGGCATGACTCGCTCTTCCACCTTGCCCATTCAAGTTCTCGTTGAAGAATGTGCTGAGATAAAGTTATGAACTTCACGTCAGAAACGATGCAAAACAATTCAATACAACCTTGACACTTTCCGCAAAATGAGCTCCTTTTGGATGGGTTTCACGAAGAAGGCGGTAACACTTCTCTTGGCTCTCATTGACAAACTTAGTTTGTTCTTCAGTAAGAGTCGTAACCTTCCTGTGAAAAAAAAAC